CAAAAACGAGCCAGAATAGCCAGAGTAATCCTAAGCAAAAAGCACAAAGCTGGAAACGTCACACTACCTGACTTCAAATTATATTGCAAGGTTATAGTGACCAGCATGGTGTGGTATGAAAATAAACACACAGACATATGAAACAGAATAAAAAACACACAAATAAATCCACATACTTACAGCCAATCAATTTTCAATACAGGCAGCAAGAACATACATTGGGGAAAGGACACCCTCTTCAATAAACAGTTCTGGGAAAATTGGATATCCACATGCAGAAGAATGAAACTGGACCCCTATCTCTCCCATATACAGAAATCAACTCAAAATAAAGACTTAAACATAAGACCCAAAACTACTAGAAGACTACGATAAGAAAACAGAACATTTCAGGACACTGGTCTAAGAAGAGATTTTATGGCTAAGACCTCCATCGTACAGACACAACAAAAATGGGTTAATTTTGCCAGTAATATTTTTTTTAAAAAAGGACACATGGGACTATGTTAAACTATGTTAAAGGTTCTGCACAGCAAAAGAAACCATCAACAGAGTGAAGAGACAACCTGTTGAATGGGAGAATTTATTTGCAAGCTATCCAACAAGGACCTGATATATATAATATATAAGGAACTCGTTAAAAATATTAAAATACTGTTAAAAAGTGGGCAGAAAACATGAATAGCCAATTCTCAAATGGCCAAATAAATGGCCAACTAGTATCTTAAAAATGGCTCAACATCACTAATCACGGAAATGTAAATCAGACATGAGATATCACCTTGCCCCAGTTAAACTGACTATTATTAAAAAGATGGGGGAAAAGTTTCTGGCAAGGATGTGGAGAAAAAAGGAACTCATACACTCTAGGTGGGACTGTGAATTAGTATAACCACTATAGAAAACAATATAAAGGTGTCTCAAAAAACTAAAAAGAAAACTGCCAATCCAGCAATCCCACTACTGGGTGAGTATCCAAAGGAAAATCAGTATGTCAAGGGAATACCCACAGCACTATTCACAGTAGCCAAGATTTGGAATCAACCTAAGTGTCCATTGATGGGTGAACAGATAAAGAAAATGTGGTAATTATACACGATGGAATATTATTTGACCGTTAAAAAAAATGTTATTTGCAGCAGCATGGATGGAACTGGAAGTCATTATGATACATGAAATAACCCAAGCACATGTTCTCACAAATATGTGGGACCTTAAAAAAAAAAAAGAATGATCTCATGGAGATAAGAGAATAGAATGATAAACACCAGAGGCACAGAAGGGTTGAGAAGGAACTGAAGAGAGGTTTTCGATGTGTACAAACTTAGAAGAAATACATTCTAATGTTTAGTGTTAGACTAGGGTGACTATAGTTAGCAACAAGATATTTCATATTTCAAAATAGCTACATGTGAAATGTCCCCAACACATACAAATGACAAATACAAATGACAAGGTGATGGATAGTCTACATACCCTGACTTCATTATTAAACTTCTATGCCTGTAGAAATACATGTACTCCATAAATATGTAAAATATTATGTATCAATAAAATTTTTTAAAAATTCCAAAGCTGAAAAATAACTCAGTTGAAAAATCAACTAGAGGCCAGGCTCGGCGGCTCAGCCTGTAATCCCACATTTTGGGAGACTGAGGCATGTGAATTGCCTGAGCCCGCGGGTTCGAGACCCGCCTGGGCAACTTGGAGAGACCTTATCTCTACAATAAATCAAAAAAATTAGCCGGGCGTGGTAGTGCGCGCCTGTAGCTCCAGTTACTTGGAAGGCTGAGGCGGAAGGATCGCCGGAGCCCAGCAGGTCAAGGCTGCGGTGACCAGGAGCATGCCACTGCACTTCAGTCTGGGCGACAGAGTGAGACCCCAACTCAAAAAAAAAAACAAAATCAACTAGAGGCATTTAACAGCAGATTCAAAGAGGAATAAGAATCATGACAGATCATCTGAAATTGAGTTAATGGATTAGAAAGCTTAATATTGTTAAGATGGCAATACTACCCAAAGTGATCCCAGAGTCAATGCAAACTGTTATCAAAATCCCAGTGTTTTTTGCAAAAATAAAATATTTCAGGCCAGGCGTGGTGGCTCATGCCTGTAATCCCAAGGTGAGAGGACTGCTTGAGCCCAAGAGTTTGAGACCAGCCAGCCTAGGCAATACAGTAAAACCTTATCTTTACAAAAATTCAAAAATTTAGCTGAGCATAGTGGCATGTGCCTGTAGTCCCAGCTACTTAGGCTGAGGCGGGATTGCTTGAGCCCTGGAGGTCAAGGCCTCAGTGAACTGTGATCGTGCCACTGCACTCTAGCCTGGGTCACAGAGTGAGACCCTGACTCAAAAAAAAAAGTGTTTTCATCCTAAAATCGTAGAGGATCCTGTATAGACAAAGCAATCTGGAAAAAGGGGGAAGAAGGTGAGGTCTCAAACACTTCCTCAGAACTGCTACAAGTCTACAGTAATCAAAAATGTGTGGTACTGGCATAAAGACAGACATAGACCAATGGAATAGGATAGACAGTCAACAAAACAAACCTTCATGTATATGGGCAAATGATTTTCAACAAGGGTCCCACGACCACTCAATGGGGAAAGGACTGTGTTTTCAACAGGTGATGTTGGGAAAACTGGATATCCGCATGCAAAAGAATGAAGCTGGACCATTACCTAGTACTACATATAAAAACCAACTCAAAATGGATTAAAGACCCAGATGTGAGACCTAATACTATAAAGCTCTTAGAAGAAAACACAGGCCAAAAGCTTCACGCATTTTATTTGGCAATGATTTCTTGGGCATGACATCAAAAGCCCAGGCTACAAAAGAAAAAATAGGTAGGTTCGACATTATCAAAATCAAATACTTTTGTACATCAAAGGACACTATCAACAGAGTGAAAAGGGAACCCACAGAATGGAAGAACATATTCGCAAATCATACATCTGATAAAGGATTAAAATCCAGAAAACATATATATATAAACTCTTGAAACTCAACAACAAAAGGCTAATTTTAAAAATGGAAAAAAGACTTATATAGACATTTCTCCAAAGACGATATACAAATGGCCAAAAACACATGAAAATATGCTCAACACCACTAATTATTAGGGAAATGTAAATCAAAACCACAATGAGGCCGGGCGCGGTGGTGGTTCACGCCTATAATCCCAGCACTTTGGGAGGCCGAGGTGAGAGGGTTGCCTGAGCCTTGTGGTTCGAGACCAGCCTGGGCAACTTGTCGAGCCCTCATCTCTACAACAAATAAAAAAATTAGCCGCGTGTGGTGGTGCATACCTGTAGTTCCGGCTACTTGGAAGGATCACCTGAGCCCAGCAGGTCGAGGCTGCGGTGGCCGTGAGCATGCCACTCCAGCCTGGGTGACAGAGTGAGACTCCAACTCAAAAAAAAAGAGATAACACTCCACAACCATTAGAATGGTAGTTATTAAAACAATAACAATAAAAAGAAAATTACAAGAGTTGATGAGGATGTGGAGAAACTGAATCCCTTGTGTATTCATTGCTCGTGGGATTGCAAATTGGTGCCAACCCCTGTGAGAAACACTTCGGCAATGCCTCCAAATTTAGAAATAGCATTTCCATAGAACCCAGCGGTTCCACTTCTGAGCACTTCCAAAAGAACCGAAAGCAGAGACTCGAACAGATGTTCGTACACCCCAGCAGGAGAATGGATAAATGAAATCTGAGTGTATGTGATATGTGTGTGGGAAGGGGGTGTCGTCCAGCCTTCAAAAAGAAATCCCGACACATGCTACAACATGAACTCAGAACACAAAATGCCAAGTGAACTAAGCCAACATAAAGGCACAGGTGCGGCATGATTCCATTTCGATGTCCTGAGTAGTCGAGCTCACAGGGACAAAGTGCAGTGTTGTTTGCCCCAACTGGAGGGGTGGGGAGACGGAGTTATCGTTGAACGGCTGCCGAGTTTCAGTTTGGGACGTTTCGGAGATGGAGCGGGGTGGTGGCTGCACAATTATGTGAAGGTACTTTAATGTCACTGAACCGTAACTTAAAAATAGTTAAAACGGCACGTTCTGTTACATATATTTTACCAAAGGGGGAAAACCCAACAATGTGGACTCAGCAAAAGACAAGGAGCAAATAGAGCAACATGAACTGGACAAGAAAAAGACTGGCGCAAATTCCCAAGCCATGCTATGAGATGGTATAATTCCACTCACACAACATCCAAAACCAGAGAAAACCAAGCGTGCTGTTTCAAAACACACATGGCACGTAGAGTTTCAAAACACACGAGGGGACAGTCATTCCGGGGGGGCGTGGAGGTGGTGACCACGCTGTGTAAAGGTGTGATAGTGGCTTTTGAGACACGGGCAAACTTTGGCTCTCTACTTAAGCGGTGGGTACTCAGAATGATTCTCGGGGTTGCACATGTGTTTTATGTCAATCTCCTGGCTTGTAAGATTTCATAAGTTTAAATATACTCCCTGCCCCAAAAGAAAAGTGAACCTTCTCCATGTTCTACTTCCCAGATGGTTTGTATTTTGCAGGAAGACTGGAAAAATCCAAAAACACCACAGTGATTGCTTTTCAGTCTTCCCACTGAGGATGATTTTCTCCCCTTTTTTCCCTCAAAATAGCACCCGCTCTGCTTCTCAGAAATAAAACGGTTCCCAACATTTCACTCATCTAGACGTTCTCAAGACTGGACCTGAGCAGACTTACGTTATGGCTGCTTCTGGAAGTGACTCTTCTCATGAACCAAAGCATCCACGGGATACGAGTTAAATGCGTCTTATGAACTCATCAGAAAATATCTATGCATAGTGGTTTACCTGGTACATTTTTAAACGTCTTTAAGACACCATTTTGATAGACAGGATTTGCTATTCACATCAATAATTAGCAATACCTCAGCATGAAAATCTGAGCTCATTTAGGGCCACCAGTCTATTAGAATGCTTAAATCCCTGGAAATAAAACACAGACACACAGATAGGTATAGTATTTAATCGAAATATATTTGTCTAATATCTACAAAGTGTGAACAATTGGTCTTAAGAAAGCAGACAAAAGGCACAAGATTAGTATTACTACAGAGAAGCAGTCATGCTATTGGATTTTATAAATGTCATTGGAGTGGCACAGTAAAAAATAAATTAAGCATTCAGCAAGAAATCAAATATTTCTTTTTTTTTTTCCCTTGCCTTCTATTTTGGTCACATCTTTGACCTCACTTGTAAAGGCTAAGGCCTGAAATTTAACTGAAACCATGGAATACTTATGCAGGCTGTACGTATGTTTTAATCACAGTGCTTTTCTTACAGAGTTTGTGTCAACCAGAGAGGTGCACTTAAGAAAGAAAAAAAAAAAAACATGGGAAATGATTTTCTCTTTCCCCAAATTAGATATAAGATTGAAGCTGTGGTTGTGCATGTTTATATATGCATGCGTGTGTGTTTAACTTCTAAAGCCCTTTTTCATCATAAAAGTAGTGAAGTTTCCATATGATTTGTTTTCTGATGTAAAAGCAGCAGCTTCTAAAAATGGATGACTAGTGCTCTGACTGCAAGAGAGGGCAGGAAACCCGGTGGGGCTTGGTTCTCGATGCTCCTGGTGGTGCTCCATATCCCGGAAGGCTCTGGCAGCTTCCTGCCCAGCTCCACACAGCGGGAAACGGCTGTTGATCTTCCTCGGATGTGGACCAACACAACACTGGGGTGGGGAGTGGGTGAGAATCACAATAATTCTGAAATGGTCGCCCCCACCCTCCACTAGGAATGAACCGCCTTCTATTGTGTGGACATCAACCGGGTCATGCCAGTTCACCATTTTGATGGGACCTGACCGAGTGAGACTACCTTTGTGAGTGTAAATCATTTCCGGCAAAGTGGAAAATAGAAAACCTCAAACCTGATTGATAGAAAGAAGCTCTCGATAACCCACTTCAACCTCGGTGAGTGCGGTATTGACCTCGTGTCCGCCATCAGCAGATGTGTACGTAGTGCCTGCGTGTGAACATATACTGTGTGTACACACACACGTGCCCCAGTGGCTCTTGGATAAATTCGTTTCTCTAGCAGAGTCTGGGGGTGCAGACTTCACAGTATGTAATTCCTCTCTCTGTGATCGTTTCTCGGATGCTCACACGAGGTCTCAGTGAACGCCAACAGAACCTTGATAGTCTGCCACTTTAATGCCTAAAAAACGGGGCTATTCCGGAAAGTTCTGCGCCGCCACCCGTCAGTGTGCCTTCCACAGGGGATTGACGTACACCCAGTCGTCGCCCTGTAAGAGAACAAGGGAGGCATTACACGGAGACCTCCCCCCAGGGGCAGCCGCGGTCCGTCCATGGAGCTGCCCTGTTCCTGACACATCATACCCACGCCAAGCTGGCGGTCTCACCACCCCTTCTCAGCCCAGATGATCTCACGATCTCATGATCTTGGCCTTTCAGGAGGGACTCCCATGCAATGAGCACAATTAAAGGGGAATTTTGCTAGTTTCCATCCAGGAAGATGACTTGGCAAAAAAGCACCTCGAGACAGTGAAACCAGAGAAAAGGAGGGTAGCTGGGAAAGAGGACAGGGGAAAGAAAAGGCGGGGGCGAACAGACCACCAGCCTGGAGGGGATGCCCGCCTAAAGGATTTCCAGCAGGCAGTGGCCACAAAGAACTCAACACACACACGAAACAACACCAGTCCAAAACCAAGAAAGAAAAAGGCAAGACACAACTGGTCTGTATGATCTGGTTTTGGACTAGAAGGTGACATGCTGAGTGGAAGCTGTCCTGATGTTGGGGTGACTTTTCTTCTTGGCATGTCCCCAAAGCTTCTGTTAGGAACACACTGGCTTTTCTTAATCCCAGGGGTAAGAACTGACGATGGATTTTTGTTGCTGTTTTATGTGTAACCTTCCACAAAAGCCAGGCAGACACTGTCTCAAGAGAGAAGGGACCCACCTCCCAGAAGGAGCCTTTGAGGATTTACCTCACCTGGGCAAGACCGGCAGTACACAGGGTCCCCACCCAGTGACCCGCAAAGGCGGAGTCTTCCTGTCCGAACCAAAATCCAACCTTGAAGTCTCCTTCAGTCCACAGCCCTTGGTTCCTGACTCAGGAGAATGCTGGTGGCTTCCTGCTCTGAACCAGGGGTCCACCTCCAGGTTACCATGTTGCCCTAACTCACTTCCCGGCCTACGTCTAGACAGAGGAACCCCTTCCCGTAGCAGAAGTCGGAGGTTAGCAGCGTGTGGGCCAGAGAAAGCCCACGAATACATTTCAGTCGGTTCCTGATATTTAAAATGCTTTGAATTCCTTGACACCATGCAAATATCAGATTTCTCATCAAAATCCAGATTTCTGGCTCCTGGTAAAGAATCCAATGATCAGCCGGGCTCGGTGGCTCAGCCTGTAATCCCACGCCTTGGGAGGCTGAGGTGAGTGGATTGCCTGAGCCCGCGGGTTCGAGTCCCGCCTAGGCAACTTGGCAAGACCTCGTCTCTACAATAAATCAAAAAATTCGCCGGGTGTGGTAGCACATGCCTGTAGTTCCAGCTACTCAGAAGGCTGAGGCGGAAGGATCGTCGGAGCCCAGCGGGTCGAGGCTGCGGTGGCCGGGAGCGGCCACTGCACTCCAGTCTGGGTGACAGAGTGAGACTCCAACTCAAAAAAAAAAAAAAAGAATCCGATGATCAGTCTCTGATCACCTGGAGGTGAGTGGGGCCCACCCGCTTGAGATATGGCCTCCCGCGTCTGCCCGGGTCTACACGGGCCTCTGCAGACAACTTCAAGAGTCTGCGGGCCTCAACTGGGCACATTATGCCTTGCCCAGCGGTGGGAGTCCCGTGGGCATTATTTTTGCCTTCCAGTGCCACCTTCCGGGGTGACAGCAGCAGCGTTTTAGGCATAGGACCCCGCTGGCCTTCGCCAGCATGTCTGTCCCTTGTGGCCCACAGCAGGCCAAGCTCTGAAAGGCGGTTCTCAATCCCGAGGGCTCAGCTCAGCCCCGCCAGTGTGGAGACAGGCTCGAGGCGCTTCCCAGCTCATCTGCTGCTAATGATAAAGCACTGGGGTCACGATGTGTTTTCCCAACTGGACAAAACAGTATCCAGACCTGCAATCCCGCTCCTTTCCCGCCCCCAAGGGAGTTGTCTCGCTCAGTTCTGCCCTCCAAGAGGTTTCAGAAAAAATGATCAAGAATTTTTTTTCTTTTTGGAGTTGGGGTCTCACTCTGTTGCCCAGGCTGGAGTGCAGCGGCAGGATCCCAGCTCACTGCAGCCTCAACCTCTTGGGCTCAGGCAATCCTTCCGCCTCGGCCTCCCAAGGAGCTGGGAGTACAGGACTACAAGCGCGAGCCACCACTCCCGGATAATTTTTTTTTATCGTGTGCAGTGACGGTCTCGCTGTGTTGCCCAGGCAGGAATCATGGATGTTGTCCAGAGAAACCGGCAGGAAGCTGGAGCCAGGGTTCCTTCTGGAGCCAGAGCCACGCCTGGCCCAGCCATCCTAGGACCTCCCCCACCCCCATCTGTCATTCAACCGACCGCGCGGTCATCTACCCTCTCGGGCCTAGTTCTCCCGGGCCCGGCCCGACGGCAGGTGGGAGTTACCTCCTGGAGGAAGTATTTGGGCTTCCACGGCGCGCGGAGTTTCTCCCGCTTCCGCTCCTCGGCCCGCTGCTTCTCCTCCAAGTGCCGCTTCTGCTCGGTGGCCGCGTCGATGTCCCCCAGCCGCAGGAATCGGGTCACCTCCCGCCACAGGTTCCTGGGAGGCATGGAGGAGAGGAGACCATGGACAGGGCCGGCCGGCGGGAGGACCGCGGGCCTGGGCAAGGGGGCCGGTGAGGCCTCTCCAAGGCAGCCGTCCCAGGTGCCTCCAGGGCCTGGAGAGCCAGGATTTGAACCCTGGGCTGCCTGGCTCCGCCTCTACACTCTTTCTGTTCCGCTTTTCCGAGCTGCAGGCCCTTCTAAGGGCCTGGAGTTTCTGGGGACCACATCTAATAACTGAAACAGGCAGTCTGCGATCACAGTAAGTCCCCTACCTCCGGACAAGTTCCGTTCTGAGAGCACGTTTCTAAGTCCAATGTGCCCCTAAGTCCAAGAGAGTCAGCCCAGGTACCCAGCTAACACGCTTGGCTATAGAGTACTGTCCTGTAATAGGTGCATAAAACTTTTCACACAAATAATGCATGAAAAACAGACACAAAAAATAGGCCTTTTTTTTTTTTGAGTTGGAGTCTCACTCCGTCGCTCAGACTGGAGTGCAGTGGCACACTCTCGGCCACCCCAGCATCGACCTGCTGGGCTCCCGTGATCCCTCCGCCTCCGCCTTCCAAGTAGCCAGAACTACAGGTGCGCACTACCACGCCCGGCTAATTTTTTGGTTTATTGTAGAGATGAAGGCTCGTCAAGTTGCCCAGGCTGGTCTCGAACCTGTGAGCTTAGGCAATCCTCTCACCTCAGCCTCCCAAAGCACGGGATTATAGGCGTGAACCACCGTGCCCAGCCAACATTTTAAATCTCATACTTCAGAACCTTGGAAACTACAGTGGTACCATTCAGCACAACAGCTGGCCTACAGGGACTGGCATTGCGTGAACAGGCAGGAGCAGTCACTGATGGTGGCGGGAGAGGAGGTGGGAGGTGGCAGAGTTGAAAGATCACCAGCAACAGGAGACGAGGACCAGCTGCAGTTTCACAACGTACGCCAGACACGTCTACTGTGAAACAACTCACATGACTGGACATGGGAACACACGTTCACATCTTTGAAAGTTCGCAACTCGAAGGTTCTTATGTAGGGGACTCACTGTACCACACACAACAACAGCAGAACATATAACAATTTCCTTATTTCTAAGCATTTTACATCTATACATGTATTTAATCCTCACAACAACCCAATTATATAAATATCATATTATCAGCTCCATTTGACAGGGGAGAAAACTTGAAGTCCACATAACATAAGACTTGCCTGAGGTCACCAAGCTGGCCAATGTGAACGATGCCTGTTTTTCCACAAGGGACCCCGGAATTAGGAGTCACAGACTGCACATGCATGCGTCTATGGTGTGGAATCTACCATCGCCCCCCACGTCTACACAAAGCCTCTTCCTTGCCTCACGCCCTCTTTGTAGAAGGCGGCCTACACCGGCTTGTGTTCCACACACAGCTTCCCCTGGGTCTTCCTGGGGACCCGCCCAGACCCACACACACTCTGTTCTGGAGAGAGAGGAAGGCAACCATGGTCATCAGGACGCCATCTCCCATGCACTTCCTCACATAAATTCATCAGGAAAAGCTGGGGTTTCACGCCAAAGGAACTAGTGAAATTCTCTGGTGGGGATGTCCTCCCGGCTTTGAGAAAACAGTACTTCTGCACCCAGGACCAAGGGAATGTCCGCCATTACATCCTGGGCCAAGAAGCACTTCTTTTTTCTTTTTTTTGAGTCGGAGTCTCACTCTGTCGCCCAGACTGGAGTGCAGTGGCCGCTCCCGGCCACCGCAGCCTCGACCTGCTGGGCTCCAGCGATCCTTCCGCCTCAGCCTTCCGAGTAGCTGGAATTACAGGCGTGAGCTACCACGCCTGGCTAGTTTTTTGATTTATTGTAGAGATGAGGTCTCGCTGCTCAGGCGGGTCTCGAACCCGCGGGCTCAGGCAATCCACTCACCTCAGCCTCCCAAAGTCATGGGATTACAGGCTGAGCCACCGAGCCCGGCAAGAAGCACTTCTATAGTGGGTGCCCTCAACTCTTTCCACAGAGAGGGTCTAGCGCAACAGGAAGCCTTGAGCATTGACATGACTGGGCCAAGGAAGGGAGACAGGGCTGCCCACAAAGTGGGGACAGCAAGCAGCACCTTCCAAGGAGGGTCAGATGCCAAAGGGAGACACAGACAAGGGCCGAGCTCTGGCTGCAAACTCCCTGCCCACCAGAGCTGCCCCGAATCCCACCGTACAGAGGCCCAAAGAGAGTGATGCTCTGGCCCCCGTTTTACAGCAAGAGAGACATCTGGAATTCAGATATAAAGTCAGGTCCGGCTGGCCTCACAGCCCCTTCTACTCTGCCTGGATACTCGACTTAAGAAGGACCGGCCAAAACAGGCCTGTGGGGTGAGGGAAGGAAGCAAGGAGGGGTGGGTGTCGGGTCAAGTTACAGTCCTTTTCGTCACCTACAACCTGGAGGAGGAGGAGCTGGGTTCCAGGATAGCCAGGGTTGGGGGGATTCCAGGGATTCAGATCCTCTGTTTTCATTTCATTTACACACACTGTTCCATCCCTGCTTTGTTTCCACTGAATAAGCACGATTTTTTTCACTTGGTTACAATCGCCTCCAGTAATAGTAAACCCTTCCATAGATTCATATGTAATTTCATTTTAACGCTACATCAAATTTCTAAAGAGCGTATGCTTTTAGATTAGAGCAGGGGTTGGCAAACATTTTCTGTAAACGGCCAGATAGCAAACGTTTTAGGCTCTGCAGACCATATGGTCTTGGTTGCAACTACTCTGCTGTTGTAGCAGGAAGGCGGCCATAAACCATATGTAAATGAATGACCGTGGCTGCATTCCAATAAAACTTTATTTACAAAATCAGCCACAGGCTGGATGTGTGGCCCATGGGCCATGGTGTGCTGATGTCGTGGATTAAAAAATTAAAAATGGGCTGGGCTAGGTGGCTCAGCCTGCAATCTCAGCACTTTGGGAGGCCGAGGTGAGTGGATTGCCTGAGCTCAGGGGTTTGAGACCAGCTGGGCAACTTGGTGAGACCTCTTCTATACAATAAATTAAAAAACCAGTTGGGCATGGTGGTGCATGCCTGTGGTTCTGGCTGCTTGGAAGGCTGAGGCGGAAGGATCACCTGAGCCCAGCAGGTCAAGGCTGTGGTGGCCGTGAGCATGCCACTGCCCTCCAGCCTGGGCGACAGAGTAAGACTCTGACTCAAAGAAAAATAAAAATCGGAGTATTTCAAGAAGAGTCTGCTCCTACACCTACATAAACATCACACAAAGTGACTGTATTATGTACTCACACCATCGATAGACACACTGATTGAACAGATACTTCATCATGTACTTAACCGTTTTCCAAATATTAGACAGTCGGGTAATGTCTCCTTTTCGTTGTTGTTTTTGTTTAGTTTTCTTTTAAAAAAAAATTCTTTTGTTTAAAATTTTTTCTGGCTGGGCACAGTGGCTCACACCTGTAATCCCAGCACTTTGGGAGGCTGAGAAGAGAGGACTGCCTGAGCCCAGGGTTCGAGACCAGCCTGGGCAACTTGGCAAGAAAATAAATTTTCAAAATTAGCTGGGAATGGTGGCATATGCCTACAGTTTCAGCTATTTGGAAGGCTGAGGCAGAAGGATCGCCTAAGCCCAGCAGGTCGAGGCTACAGTGGCTGTGAGCAGCCACTGGACTCCAGCTGGGACAACAGTGAGACTGTAACTCAAAAAAATAAAAATAAAATCTTTTCTGAACTTAAGAACGTTCCCTGAGAAAAAATTCTCAGAAGCACAGAAGCAGAATGCAAGATTAAAGTGAGTTCGTGAGTTCAAAGCAACTGATCCAGGCAGCTAAACTGCACACCCTCCTACTGGAAGAGAATGTCAATTTCACTACATCTCCGCCAGCACTGAATTTTTAATAACGTTGCTAATCTGGTAGAAAAAAATAATCCTATCTCATGCCTCCGTGTGCAGTTCTTACCTTATGATGAGCAATTCTTCGTATCTACCTCTGCAGTCAAGCATCAGATCAGCTGAGTTGACATTTTTAAGACCCGCAGTACAAGTCTGCTGTAGATTACCCTCACCCCCACCCCATAACTGCAGAATGACTCGACTAAAAGCCACAAGCATCTCCTCCTACGTGACACGCGGCAGAAAACTCAAATTATCTAGAGAGGCCGGAGGAACGTGATTCCTGGCCCGGGTCCACAAGCTGAGCTTCCCAGGGCTTCCTCTCTGTCCCCCAAGTCAAGTGCTGCGAACAGCCAAGCTGGGGAGCAACACACAGCTGGGTCCTCACCTGGATTCCATGGGCCCCTGCTTCTCAAGGGGCCTGATCTTCTTAGGACACACTGGCAACGTGGTCGTGTCGATGACTTTGGTTTCTCCATTGCTGTACGTGAACTCCAAGGTCCCGTTCCACTCCCCGTGGGCTTTGCAAACAATGGTGTTGGTTGGGTTGTGTTTCACTTCTGCTGTGACTCTGAATTAACAAGGCAGGTGAACACACTTTGCAAGACGATCAAAACAGAGACTTCGAAAGGTACGCTCATCTTTAGAGACATTTTTTATGTGGGGGTGGAAGGGATTGTTTTTGCAGTTTTGCTCAAAGACTAGCTCTTAAAATATGACCTAACCATATCTAGCCTTGAGCAAAAAAAGGTGGCATCGGGGAAAAAACTGGTGAAACTAAATAGTCTGGATAGTTAAGAGCCATATAGCAAGGTTAATTTTTTTGTTAGTTGCTATTTGTTTAATTGTCTTTTCTTTATTTCAATAGTTTTGGCGGGTACACAGTGTTTTTGGTTACATGGTTACACTGTATAGTGGCACAGGAGTCAGGGCTTTAAGTGTACCCACCACCCCCATCTGTGCACACAGTGTTAATTTTGTAGCTTTGATAAAACACACAATGGTTATATGTTATATGTTATCACTGGAATGGAAATCAAGCAGTTCCCTAAGAGCAGAACAAAATATACTCTCTCTTCCCCAAAACAGAAGGCAATAGTGTTATATATTTTAACCCCCAGAAGAGTGTAAGAGTTCAGGGAGAGTTTTTCAATGCTTGAACAAGGCCAATTCCACATGGGGTCTGACGTGGCTGTTCACCATCCCCACAGAGGTCACACTGGAAGAGGAGGGACACGTCCACCCCGGTGGCCACATGCTCCCTGAACGAGGCATCGCGGCCTCACATCCATCCCTTCCCAACCACAGCAGGGACTCCGCGGGATGACCTTCGTCCTGCCTTTCCAAGGAGATCTGGGCCCTGTCTTCCACCTGCCTCACCAGGGATGCCCCGGGTCCTACTTCCATCTCCCTCCCACCTCTGAGCTCAGAGCCCCGCAGCGAGAGCAGGGGCAGCGAGAGCAGGGACACCTGGGCCCCCGGCAGCCACGTGGAAAGCGCGGCTCCTCCCCTCCTTAGGGCCAGCTCTGGCCGCGTCTAGTTTTCAAACACAGGCTTGGAAGCTTCCCTCCCCGGGCTTGAAAACAGCCACAGTTCCCAGGTGGTGAGGCAGAGACTCCTGGGCAGGAATGAGGCGTCTTCTGGGTACACACGGTTGCAGGGTGCTAGTGACATGCTGGCAAATACAACAACAGGCTTTGGCAGGCGGGGCGGAGGGGGAATGTGGGTGTGGAGACCCGATCTGTATTATTTGCCAATTTCTGTGGTGCCCCGCATGGCTGATTTCAACTACCCACGTGGTATCTCTTGAACATGGGGCTGGGGAGACACGCACACCAGTCAGCTCCTGCCAGCTGGCTGGGCTGGCTCCCCAAGGGCGCCCATGTGTCCGGCCACCCACAACCTCACACCAACGCCCTGTAGAGCAATGCTTGCCAGGACAAAGGGCAAAGGTGGACGCTTGCTTCCTCAGCAGATCTGCTCTGAGAGAGGACTTTTTATAACTGGGGCAATAAAAATAGTTCTGTGCCTCCTCAAACAGCGGACCCCTCCCCTTCTGCGCCTTGGCCGTGGGCTTCCTCAGGGAAGGAAATGTCCCCATTCGTGATCTCGGGATAGTGGCCAACTCCATGTGAAATGGCAGCTGTCTGGCAATGCCTGAGTTCACGGATAGGGTCACTTCAGAGCGGGGAAGCCAGCTGTGGCTTCAGAAGGGAGAGTTGAGGCCAGGCTCGGTGGCTCAGCCTGTCATCCCAGCACTTTGGGAGGCCGAGGCGAGTGGGTTGCCTGAGCCCGCTGGTTTGAGACCAGCCCAGGCAACTTGGTGAGACCTCGTCTCTAGAAAAAAATAAAAAATAGCCGGGCATGGTAGCGTGCATCTGTAGTTCCAGGCTACTTGGAAGGCTGAGGCGGAAGGATCACCGGAGCCCAGCAGGTCGAGGCTGCGGTGGCCATGAGCATGCCTCTGCACTCCAGCCTGGGCGAAGGAGTGAGACTTCAACTCAGAAAAAAGAAAAAAAGGAGAGTTGATTGTCACAAACAGAAGTGCCTTTCATTCTCTGGGGTGTGTTCTGCAAATGCGCCACCGAAGACTTCACCTGAAGTTTAGAGTGGGGTGGACTCTACAAAATTGCCCTGTACGATGGGGAAAGGCGCGTCTCTTTTTATTTTTTGAGTTGGAGTCTCACTCTCTGTCTCCCAGACTGGAATACAGTAGCTCACTCACGGCTCACCACAGCCTTGACCTCCTGGGCTCAGGCCATCCTCCCACCCCAGCCTCTGGAGTAGCTAGGCCTACAGGCATGCACCCACCATGTCTGGCTAATTTTTTGATTTTTTTTATAGAGACGAGGTCTCACCATGTTGCCCTGGCTGGTCTCGAACAACTGAGCTCAAGCTCTCCTCCCTCGGCCTCCTAAAGTGCAGGGATTCCAGGTGTGAGCCACCATGCCCAGCTAATTTTTGCATCTTCTGTCGAGATACAGTCTCACGGTGTTGTTTAGACTGGTCTCAAACCCCTGAGCGCACGCAGTCCTCCCGCCTCGGCCTCCCAGTGTGTTGGGATTACAGGCGTGAGCCGCCCTGCCAGGCCGAGGCATTTCTTTCGCAAAAGCCCTGTGAGCAACTTGATCTTGCTTGACTTTCAGCTTATCCCTGCTAATGGAGAAGCAAACGCAGGGCGTGGTGACGAGACAAAGCCCTTGGGCCGCGCCAGCCGGCTCCTACCTGTGCACCTTCCCTCCGTAGAAAGGCTTCGTGTGGAAGATCACGGTGGCCGAGTACCCCGTCTTGGCACAGCTGATGTTGACTTTTCCTCCGAGCTCCACCCAGGGGATGGTGAGTATGGACCGTGCGTAGGCACTGGGCAGGGTGAAGACGTACTCCTCTCCGTGCTCCAGGAGCCTCAGCACACCTCGGGGGGGAAGCAGGGAACGTTAGGAGGCAGATGCGGGAAGGGCTCCGGGATCCGAAGAAGTAAAGAGGAGAAACACCACCCGTCTCCCGCGTCCGCGGCCGTCAGCGGCTCGTTCGCCGGCACTGAGAATGCAGCGGGGAACAAGACAGACCCGCTTTCTGCCCTCGGGGAGCAGAAGAGAAAGGTGGGCATGCGTCGCCCCACGAACGCAAAATTGCCACCACGGTAAAGGCGGCCAGGTGAGGCGCCCGGTGCCATGGGGGCCTCCGACAAGAGGAACTGACCTGGGAGGGGAAGGCTTCCTTGAGGAAGGGGAGCTTGAATGCGGTAAGAGTTGAGAAAGTGAACAGCGGACGGAGGAGTGTTCCAGGCAGGGACAACGCGTGTGCAAAGGCCCTGGGGTGGAAGAGCCTGGCGAGGCTTAGAAAAGGGCCCACGTGCTGAAGGGAGGTGGTATGTGCAGGTGTGGGGGATGACCAGGTTGGCAGGGGCCAGACCTTGTCTTTCGAGCTTCTAGAATGCCTGTTAAAAAGTTCTGCCCCGCCGGGCTCAGTGGCTCAGCCTGTAATCCCGTGTCTTTGGGAGGCTGAGGTGAGTGGACTGCCTGAGCCCGTGGGATCGAGACCCGCCTGGGCAGCAAGACCTCATCTCTACAGTAAATAAAAAAATCAGCCAGGCGTGGTAGCGCATGCCTGTAGTTCCACCTACTCGGAAGGCTGAGGCGGAAGGATCACCGGAGCCCAGCAGGTCGAGGCTGTGGTGGCCGGGAGCGGCCACTGCACTCCAGTCTGGGCGACAGAGTGAGACTCCAACTCCAAAAAAAAAAAAAAGTTCTGCCCATATCCTGAGAGCTAGCCACAGTGCTTCTCATGAAGTTAGAGAAACTGCTGTACGTGTATCTGTGTATGGGGGGGGAAGACATCTGCCAAGAGTGGGATCAGGTGTTTTCCGAGGACTGGAGGGGTCTTAATCCTCTTGATGCAATGCAGAATTCGGTGGGTTTCTGGTTTTTAGGGAGAAGGGCCAACTTTCCTCCAAGACCACCCCAGCAGCCTATGCGCTCCCAGGGCTTCTGTCCAACCCGTGTACAGAGCCCTGAGAACCGGTGCCACAGCTCTCTGGGATGGATTCCCACCAGACGCCTCTCAGCTTCCCAAGCGGCCTCCTGGCCTGGGCTCCCGGGTGACAGGCTCTGGGGGCCACACCCCAGGTCACCCAGGCCTCGCCCTTGCCAAGGGCACTCTGGGCCTCAGGAGGGCGGAGGATCAGAGGTGGCTTGTGACGGCCCCTCCCTGGGTCCCGGGTCCTCGACCGGGAAGAGTGGGATCCTGGCTCCCATGGGCGAGCACCTCTGGCTGCCAGACATCCCTGGGGGCACCACGATCTCCTCCTGCCTCGCAATTACCCAACACGGCAATCGTTGTTATCATCTGATGACAAGGACGAGGAATTAGAAACTCAGCGTGGTTAAGTAATCCTGCTGGTCAGTCCTGCCAAGCACCTAAGCAGAGAGAGCCAGGATTTGCCTAGGAGGCAGCAGGGAGTGGGGGAGAGGAGAGAAGGGGACAGGGGGTGGGGGCTCAAGGAGGGAGGGACAGAGACAGAGAAACAGAGATTCTTTCAGAGCAGATGATCTTGCCAGGGGAGTCTGAAGAGTCATGGGCTTCATTTGCACAGAGGAGTCATGACCGCCCTTAGACTCTAAAGTCAATACTGCCAGGAGGGGTGGCTGGAAAAATTCCAGCACTTTGCGAGGCAGAGGTGAAAGGACTGCCTGAGCTCAGGAGTTCGAGACCAACATGGCGAGACCTCGTCTCTACAATAACACCAAAAAATAAGCCAGGCGTGGTGGCACACGCCTATAATTCCAGTTACTTGGAAGGCTGAGGCGGTAGGATCACCTGAGCCCAGCGGGTTGAGGCTGCGGTGGCCGAGAGTGCAAGACTCTGACTCAATAAAATAAAAAATAAAAAAATAAAGAATGTCCAGGACGCCTTCAACTATTGTTCAATTTGCCCTTGGGAATTCCTTTAATTGCCCATGAGCTACAGCACCTAGAACACACTAGGCTTGTCCAAACAAGCAAAAGCACCCTCAGCTAAGTCCACTCAAGTCAGTTCTTCCAGCCCAGGTCACAAACAGCTGGTTCTAATGTAAACCCAAGGTGACATGCGGGCACAGGTTGAGAGGTCTCGATCCCTCCTCCGCACATGTGGGCATGTGCAGGTATGGAGACACCCAGGAGACACAGATCTGTGGGCTGCCCACACCCACATGGCAGGACAGGAGGGCAGATGTCCTTGTGGTATTGGAGCACTTCCTCTCTGGCCAGGAGTCTCAATGAATACACACAATGCAGACACACAAACAGTCAAGTCCACTGACGCAAAGACACTGAACACCAGAACAGCTTCGCCATTCGTCCCTGCTCCAACTCGCCAGAGCTCTCTTGACTGAGTCAACCCATCTTCCTCCAAGCCCAGCCCCAGGCCACTTCGTGTTTTCCCCCGACACTTGTCCCTCCTCCAGCACCTCAGAGAAGGCAACTGCCCTGGAGGACCCGAGGCCCCGCGGGTCCCATCCATGCGCTTAAGGGAAGATCGTGATGTTTGTGAGGAGAATTAGACGTCTGTGCTCCCATGCTGCTAGCTTCCGAGCAGGACTCTTGGAGAACGGCCATGTCTGACATGGTTTTCTGTTTCAAAGCCCACTTCATATCCGACTTGCTTGAACTGGGTCACTTGAGAAGACAGCAAGCAGGTGGGAAATTGCAGCCAATGCCAAACACAGACAAGCGTTGGTTCTCCCTGGCCAGCAGTCAGAAGGGTTTGTAGAAAAGAGAGGTCACCTCGGATGTCCCTCCTCTCTCCCCGAGTTTTACCTCCCAAGCCCCCCAGTTCCGGTGATGGCCATATCCTCACAGACACAGACCCTGTGGCAGCTGGGAGTGACCCCCCAATCCCCGTAGAGAAGACTGCCCATCAGCTTGCCTCAAGGCCCCGAGAAGAGGGTCCACCCTGCCCCCTGCAGTGCTAACAGACTACAGACGGTCCCCAACCGACAGTGGTTGACTTACAATTCTCTGACCTTACATGGGTGCCAAAGCAACAGTGTTCCACAGACACTGTTCTTGGTCTTTTCTCAGGCTAGCGAGATGCGATGTGACACTCTCGTAATACTGGGCAGCCACGCGATTGTCATCGTTGGGATGACATTGTCATCGTTGGGACGCAAGCATTGTGTGGAAATGTGATCCCCAAAGCTGAAGGTGGGGTCTGGTGGGAGGTTTTTAGGTCACAGGGACGGATTCCTCATGAATGATGTGGTGCCAGTCTCACCACATCATTCATGATGAGTGGGTTCTCGCTGCCTTTGTTTGTCCAGATCACCGGAGAGCTGATTGCTGAAAAGAGCCTGGCACTTCCTGGCTGTCTCTTGTTTCCTCTCTCGCCATGTGATCTCTGTACACGCCAGCTCCCTTTTACCTTCCTCCCTGAAGCCCTCACCAGAAGCAGATGCCAGTGTCACGCTCCTTGTACAGCCTGCAGAACCGTGAGCCAAATAAGCCTTTCTTTACAAATTCTTCAGCCTCTGGTATTCCTTTATAGCTACACAAGCGAACTAAGACACAACCCATCCTCTCCAGTGTGCTGTGTTGCCAGAGAGCTTTGCCCAACTGTAGGCTAATGCAAGTGTCTGAGCACATTTAAGGTAGGCTGGGCGTATTAAATACATTTTCTTTTTTTGTTTGTTTGTTTTTTGGTTTTTGGTTTTTTTTTTTTTTTTTTTTGAGTTGGAGTCTCACTCTGTTACCCAGACTGGAGTGCAGTGGCCACTCCCAGCCACCGCAGCCTCAACCTGCTGGGTTCCGGCGATCCTTCCGCCTCAGCCTTCCGAGTAGCTGGAACTACACATTTTCAACTTAGGATATTTTCAACTCAGGATGGGCTCATTGGGGCGTACTCCCTTGTAAGCCAAAAAACATCTGTATTGGTAGTAAAATCCTTCCAGATGGCCAGTGTGCCGCCCTGGCACCACAACCTCAACCCTGATGTCTACTGGGACTGCCACCCACTCACACGTCCAGCCAGCAGCCTCTGCAGACCAGAATACACACAGCCATGAACTCAGGTGGCTGGTTTTCCCAGTCTCATTCACAAATACAAGCTTGGTAAGATAGGATCCTATAGGTGGGATTTTCTTTACAACTCTTTTACGTGGAGAATAGCCTACAATTATTACATTATTTGGGTTTTTTGAGTTGGAGTCTCACCCCGTCACCCAGGCTGGAGTGCAGTGGCATGCTCACAGTCACCCCAGCGTTGACCTGCTGGGCTCCAGCAATCCTTCTGCCTCAGCCTTCCAAGTAGCTAAAACCACAGGTGTGTGCTAATTTTTTTTTTTTTTTAATTGTAGAGACAAGGTCTGGCCAAGCTGCCCAGGCTGTTCTCAAACCCATGGGCTCAGGCAATCCCCTCACCTCGGCCTCCCAAAGTGCTGGGATTACAGGCTTGAGCCACCACGCCCGGCCCCCACAATTATTTTTAAAGACTTGGATGAAATCTCAGAGGATCATTCCAAGTCCTCCGTCACTAGCCTAGTGATCTTAACTTCCCTCTGCCTCAGTTTCCTCATCTGTGGCACATGGATAATGGTGTCTGTACCTCACAGGGCTGTGGCGAATCTTCTCCGGAAGGAGGTCCTAAAACTCAGCGGACCCCACCACCACCTGGCACACCTGCCAGAATGCTGGAGGCTTTACCACCTAGTCACTCTTCAATCTGTCGTGAGGTCCTCTCCAGGGGGAATTCTTCATAACGGTGTTGCCACCGAGCAATGAAGAGAAAACCACAAGGTCTGGATTACGCGTGTGGGGATGGAAGAGGTGGGAGAAGATTTTTTTTTTTTTAATGTAATGGTGTGCATAAGAGACAGCATCCTACTCCCATTATCTTTAGAGAAATCTCTCCCAAGCCAAGGTGAAATTTCTCTCATTT